GGGGTCCGGGTGCGGGCTGACGGCCCCGCGGGCTCTGGCTGCCCGGCGCTCCTCGCCGGAGCGCGCCGCTCGAGGCAACGTGGTCAAGTTCCCTGCGTGGCAGCCCGCAAGGAGCCCTTCGTGGAGAAGACCAAGGATCAGACGTCGCTCAGGTTCAGCTCCCTGCCGGTTTGGCGCCTGAATTATTGCGTGTTTTAGTGAGAAAAGAAACTGGTTTTGCTGTTCTTAAAATGAGCTTTTTAAATTCGGTGACTGTTTCTCTCTGTTAGGAAAATGATTTCATAGCAAGCATCCTGTTCGCACAGTCTCACAATACTTACTTGTTATTTTTTTAAACTTTTTTGTTGAGGTTCATTTAGTAGTGTGCAAATATAAGTGAAGAAACATGCAGTATTTATAGTAAAAATAATTTGTAAATAAAGGGCATACTAAAGAAAGAATACCAGCATCCTGAGGTTTTTTTTCCATATGCACTAATAAAGCCTTCATATAGACAGCTTTAAATGATTTTATGATGTTATTCTCTGTCCTGGTTGAATCACCAGCTGCTCAGAGATAACTGCTGCTCTTACGCAAAGCGCGCGTGGCCTTTCCTAGGAACGGGGCAGCAGTGCCAGCGGCAAGACACTTGCGTGGGGAGAAGCCCGCTTCCAGCCTGGAGGGGTGCGGAGCGCCGCGCCGCCGCCGCGTGGGCCTGTCCTCCTAGGCCAGCTCGGAGCATTCCTGGACCAGTCGTCGTCTCTTCCCAAAAAGCCAGGCTGCACACATAGCAAGGAAGAGTTTGGAGGATCAGACCTAACTGCTCCCCTGTTTGGTGCTCGCTGGTTCCTGTTCCTTGTTTTGTTTTGACATGGAGACGAAGTCCACAGTGAGAACGCAGGAGCTGTAAAACCAGCCTTTCCCTTTTATTGGTGTTTGCCAGCAGGTTTAATGGATTGGGGTGCTGGCAAAAGACAGGCAGTGCTGCGGCGGCGGCAAAAAAGGTGCAGTTAACTAGTTCTGCCAATGCGTTCCTTGTGCACCTCGGACAC